AGATAACTTATTGTTAGTCATACATCTTCTTCTTCTTATTTGGCGCTGCAACCGCCTAAGCGATTTAGGCCGAGTTCAACAAAGCACGCCACTCGTTTCTTTTATGTGCCAACTGACGCCAATTGGAAATGCCAAGTGAAGTCAAGTCCTTCTCCACCTGGTCTTTCCACCTCAGGGGGGGCCTCCCTCTTCCTCTGCTACCACCAGCGGGTTCCCAGTTGAATACTTTCAGAGCTGGACCGTCGATGTCCGTTCGAATGACATGGCCAAGCCAGCGGCGCCGCTGTATTTTAATTCGCTGCACTATGTTCATGTCGTTGTAAAGCTCATACAGCTCATCGTTCCATCGTCTGTGGTAGTCGCCGTCGCCAGTGCAAAAAGGCCCATAAATCTTCCGCAAAATTTTTCTCTCGAATACTCGAACGGCCGCCTCCAGTGTTGCCAGAACATTTGGACCAACCGAAGAGAAAGACTAGTTCTTGGAGAGAAATTCAAGCTGGAAAAATTTTGCCAGCAAGAATTTGCAATTAGGACAAACATATGATTGTGGCCCATGGCTGGATTTTTTACGACAAAGAAATTGAAACGTATGTTGAGGAAAGTCGGGCTAACAATAAATATATATGTAGATCCTGTTTTTTGCCCCTCTGAAAGAATTTTGAAAATTCTATACAAATTTATTATGTTTGAAATGCAACCGTGGACACTAGCTGGCAGGGAAACTTGCAAATTTGCGTTGGTGCAGAATTTTGCAAGTTTCTCTACTTGAAAGAGAATTTGGCAGCATTTTTTCGTACTATCTGATACTTTGAGTAATAATTCCCGCTGGGTTTTCGACAACCAAACCTATTTTCTTCCCAGAGAGTTTTGCTTTACATAAAAATGTTTGCTCTTTTATTTAAATTTTGACGCATTTCAGTGTTGGTTCTTTTAATTCAAGTTGGCCTTCGGTTTTTAGAATTTAAATAAGTTCTGAGCAAAAAATATTGTTTAAAAAATACATAAGTATGTGCACATAGTGCTTGAAAATCTCAATTTCTCCCTTACCTTAATCCTTTATGCGTGGGCAACAATGACGTTTTGTAATTAAGGCAGAAGGGAAGACAATACCTGTAATATTTATTCTATGTTTTGGCACTATATCCAAACACAAACGCGTGTTAAGCAAACAGTGAAACAATTTGTTATTTTCTAAGGTTGCCAATAAAACTTCACACTTAAATTTAAGACATTCATAACAAAAATTTTATGAAGCAAATCCCCCCAACGGCCTTCTTTAATCTAAAACATATTAGTTTAAAATAAAAATAATCGAAATCGGCCCAATTTTATATAACCCTGCCTGACATGAACATTTTCTCCGCGATAAGGCTAGTAGCCATTTCTGACAGATCTTGGGTCGCTTAGTCAAAAATGGAAACATTTATATTTGAATTTTAAGAAAACAAGGCAAGTAGCAAAATCGGCTCAAACCGGCTATTTTTTTTGTAAAACGGCTAAACCAAAATTTCTCAGGCTGTTTGCTATCCCAA